CTAACTTGATGAACTGTGCACAGAGCAAAGTTAATGTCTTTCAGAGCGCGCTGTAGCCATGGCAACCATCTTCAGAGCGCTCCACGGCCCATCTGGTCTAAACATTAGCCGTGTGCAGAGGAAGCCCCATGCACATGTGCTTTATGCATCGATCCTGCATGATCAATAGCACTACATTTTCAGAAGGCCTGCGTTGCACTCGCAATCAACACGCTTACAACCTCCCCTTGAAAGAATCAGCTCGGGAATCGGTTTGGGTTCTTTTTGTAGATTTTGATGTCAAAGTCTTAAATGGAGGCACAGTTTCTGAATAAAATGTTCAGGAGGAAATCCATAAATACATACTGAACTCGATTTTTTTTTTTGATTACTGGTTCAGCAGATGTGCTAATATTAATTTTATAGTGCAATGAACTTTGACCAATTGAAACCCACATGCCTTTGTAGCCAACACTTTGAAACTATTGTAAGAAAATGGCCTTAATTTTTTGTATATAAATAATAATAATAAAAGTCTATCCTTTACTTTTCTTCTTGTTGGTTACTGGTTCGGCAGATTTGCTAAAATTAATTTAATAGTGCAATGAACTTTGAACAAATGAAATACACTTTTAATTGTAGCCAAAATTTTGAAATTATTGTAAGAAAATAGCCTTAAGTTGTATATATAAATAAAAAATAATAAAAGTCTATCCTTTACTTTTCATCCACTGAAATATACTGTAGTTTGTACTTTCATATTAAATCCTCTCTTCAGTGTGTTGTGGAAGGGGAAGTACGGTACGCCTATTTATATCGTAAGTGTTCGGTAACTTGGATAAAAATAATTGTTGTCAGAATAGCTAATTTCGGTAGTAATTTCAGCGGTAGTAGCAGTATAAATGGAAACTGTAAAAGTAGTTGTAGTAGAGCAGTAGATGTGCTGGTAGAGTTTGAGTACTGGTATTTGTAGTAGAGTTTCATCAAAAATAACTTTCAATTGTAATTTCGTTGGTGAATCTTCTACATATAAAAAGCTTATTGAGTACTGAAGTCGTTGTCTTCCTTATAACCATGATGATAAATTTAAATTGGAAAAGACAGATTGACAACCCAGTAGAATACAAATGTACACTTTGTAAGTAAGTATGTATGTATGTAGGGCTGGGAAACACAGGGTCCCTCAAATATCGAATGGTGAGGGACCCTGTGATCCCTGTGAACCCTAACTCAATACATGGCTCACGATACGATATTATTACAAAATGGCAATACATGCGATACTCGATATACTGTACTTCACATGATACTCTGTGATATATAGCTGTTTTTCAGAACCAACGAACCTATTTTAATCATCAAAACAGTGAATATGTCAAGTGTATTACATAAACAAGTTTTCTTACACTAAATAATCAACTAAATTGTAGTCTGGACAAAAAATATTGCTAAAAGATACCAAAAAATATGCTTGACGATATATCGAAACACAATAATACTGTATCACCAAATTTCGTATCACTATATATCAATATTCTGATATTCTAGTAATATTCTAGTATGTATGTATACTGAGTTCTCCGTATTTGTATATGGTATGTTCTGCTGGCTATTATTATCACAATTCTCCCATGTCCCATCCTCACAATTCTCCCACCAAAGCCAAGTTTAGGTTAGAACTGAACTGATGTAGCATAAACACTGGGCCTGTCACGATAATTACTGCCGATATATCAATATATTGTTCAAAATAACAAAGCTGGAACAATATTTTTTGGGGTCAGTATTTAGCGTGTGTACATTTCCTTTGCATTACTAGAACATTTTTGACTATTTTTTGCAATATGAGAAAATTGAAGCTGTAAATGATTGCATGAATAAGTCATTACAGATGCAAACTAAGTACTGAAGTGTTTCATTCTACTGTTTATCGCAGCTCATGAATGTTTAACAGTATTGTACATTGAGGTTTGAATCTGCCGTTGGGTTTGTGTGTCTGTGGCATAAACTAGTCTCAAAATTATCATTTAGTTCAGCAATATATCACACTTTAAAATGTGTTTATCTGTTCGTGACAGGCCTATAAGTGTGCTGAGTTTCCTATATTGAGGTAATGTATGGTTTGCTGGCTGCTATTTAAAGGTGCACTGTGTAACTTTTCTGATGAAGATGTCATTGCTCTGCTTGAAATGTTCCACAGTATGGCGTTAAACAGCTCTACCTTACATTTATTAAACTATAGCTTGAAAATACCTACAAAAACAGGCATTCTGACAGATCTGACCTGTAACTTGGTTTGGTTTGGGCTCCATGAAAGGTTTAATGCCATACGGTGAACGATTCTGGACAAAGCAATAATATCTCAAAGCGTTTGACGGACCCTCCACCAGAAAAGTTACACAATGCCTTTACCTTTAACACAGTTCTCCCATCCGAGCCATATTTAGCCTACAACTGTACTGATGCAGCATAAACACACCACTGGTATTCTCTGGGTTAGAACTGGCTCAGTGACAGACTCCATGTGCTTGATCAGGAAGCTCTTTTCATTAATAAAAAGAGCAGTTTGCCACCTTAACACAGCAGTCCTCGCTACACTTTTCTGCTGCCCTGAACTTTGAATAAAATGCCTTTTGCAAATTGCTCTTTTGTGGTTGTGAAAGTGAACGTAGTAGCGGTATTCTCGAGCTCATTGGTTTCTAAGCAGCCTGACCTAAGCCACTGTTGCTAAGCTGCCTCTCTCCTACTGAGAGAGAGCCACGTGACCTTCATTGAATGGAAATCACAAATCCTTTGGAGCCAGGGGTGTTTTCAATCATGGCATCGCTTCAGCTCACGTCCCCTGTGGTATGAAATATAAATGCAAACTTCACTCTGTACATAGAAAGGTTTTGAATATAATGTCCAAAGTGAATAGCCCATTGAAACATGAAACTAATATCTTACTCTTGGGTCTGCACATAATCGTCAGAATGTTAGTAATGTCCATCATAACAAAAGACAACATTGGTATTTATGTGTTAAATTGAAAGTGTATTGTTACATCGAGGTATAGAAATGATAAAGCTGAATAAATACGATCAGATCTGTGGAGAGGCAAGCCCACTCACAATACAAATGCATTCTTTTCAAGGTAGTTCTGAGCAATAAAAACACCTGTAAGTGAACAATGCAAGAGATGAATTACTAACTAATTAAAACCATACTGTGGAACCTTCTGGGCAAAGTTATAACAACTCCATCAGACAAAACAGTGGTGCACAATCCACCAGAAAAGTTACAAATTGTGCCTTTAACCCTGAAAACATATTTTCTCATTTTCTTCCTTTTTATTTCTTCTTATTTTTTTCTTCTGCATGAGAGTAAAGTTTTTTTTCTGTCAATCTCTCTGTGCATCAGCTGTTGTATCAGAAACCTAATATTGAGTGTGGAGTACTGGAGAGTCTCGGCGGCACTTAGTGATGTCATTGGAAGCCTTGGATCGGGGTTATGCCTCTAAATGACATAGAGGACCAGCTGTCGCTCTCTGTGCTTCTTGTGCAGACAACAGGGGGCCATGGGGCCTAACCTTTTCAGTGACAGCTCCTTGCAGCATAACGTGCATATCTGACAGCCATTTTAGAACTGGGCCAACAGCCATCAGCAGCAGTTGTTTCTGTGTGAACCCTGGTGAGGCCGCACCGTGAAGAAGCCAGGCGGATTTTGTGGCAGCAGCTTTAGTTATGATAATCTCTCTCAAGATATTCAGTGAGATAAAACATTTGTCGATGGCTAAATGCTTTGTGACAACCTTGAAGACGGGCAGCCATCTTTGTTTTTGTCTCACGTTAATGCAAGACATTTCTTTAGGTTAGCACTCATAACCTCTGCATTGAATGTTTGAATTCCTATAGTTAGCATGGTGAGATGGATTATTTATTTATTGATTTATGTATGTATTTATATGTATTTAGCCGACAGTAAGGAAGACATTGGGCGTAACAGTACAGCCCTACAAAGGCAGAACTCTGTAACATCATGTTTGGTCAAAAATTTGTAATTTTGAGGGTATTTGAGACCTCCTTTATCATGTGAATAAATATCATGAGCCAATTTGATTGTTTTACGAGAAAATAAAGGGCTATTACAACTGTAACATCCAAAACCATACGAGAAACCGCAGCAGAACGGCGTAATAGATATTTTTCTCAGTTTCACACTCTGGTGAGTTAAGGTCTTTTGCTTTTGTAGGGCAGAATAACATAATCATAATTTTGGGGAGAAAGAAAAAGGAAATATAAATGCAGACGTTCCTATAAATCATGGAAATAATTTTTGTTATTGGCATCCAGAAAGTTATATACCTAACGTCACGCAATCAAAATTTAAAATTACAATTACAGCCAGTCCAGATTTAAGGCTATTCAAGACTCCATGCAATCACCGAACTGTCAAAAGGAATTATACATTTTCAGTCCCTTTTTTTCCCCCAATTTCCATAATGAAGAGGTTACAGAGCACCGATTGCATCTTTCTTTTATTGAGATGGAATCCTTGGAGATTTGCAAGCCAGTGTCTCACAGAACATGTAAAATAATGCTGAGTTTTTCTAATATTTCTTCTTATTTCTTTGTTATTTGTCAGCAATGCTTATTCTAAAAGATAGTTCCTTTAGACCACAGTTATTTTATAGATATCGTTCAATGCATGAGTAAGTTTTTGTTTGTTTTTGTAGTACAATCAACTAAAAATTATGGGATTTAGAAAAACACTATAACATTATATGATCAGGATCTTATTGGTTTCTCATTGCGTTGTGCTTAGTTTTAAAGAAAAAGCAAATATCTTAAGGTTTAAAGCTCTACAGAGACGTGCTTCCAGTCATGTGAATTCCCTGTTTGAAGTTCATTACAAACTGGTCATTACAAGCCAAAAAAAAAAAACAAAAAAAAAACGCTTTGGCCTTTTAGCGTCCATTAGCAAATCTCTCTACGATGCATGTTCTCTATAACTTTTTTTTTCCTCTTATCTCGTCTCCGCAGCAATGACATAAGCGCGTCGTTTGGAAGCGCTGGGGCGGGGAGGCGAGAAGAGAGATGCTACTCGCTTTGGGGATGGTTACGTAACAATCTTCCACTGGCTCGGTCTCTTGCTCGGCGCGGAATGCCAGGACGGTGTTTGTAAACAGAGCGGCCATGTGCGGGCTCACGTGGAGGAGGCTTTGGAGTCACTGGCCTCACCGGTCTGTCTGCGTCACCCCCGAGGTAAAGAGACATCGATACGCGTTCCCTTCGTCCCGCACCAACCACTCTTTGCATAGTCCCACAGATCTCACTCCATAATTAGGCGGCACAACCCAGGTCACGTCAGGAAAGCCGCTCCCGCTGAATGAAGTGATGAGTGCACGTGTGTCTGACTCATAAAAAGTTTGTGTGCGCGCTCTAGAAACTATTAAAGGTGCAATATTACACCAAATTGAGTCTTATGAGCTTTAAGTTATAACGTCATTACCTCATCAAAAACATACCTGGTGTTGTGTTTTGTTTCATTCACACATGTGCATTACTAGTCTGTCTACACCTTCAGTGCTCAAAATGCTCTGTTCCACCTTGTGATGTCATGAAGCAGTAGTTTTCAAGTTAACAGCTTGTAGAGATTGGAAATTCCAGGGCTGAAATCATCCAAATGATTCTAGTGAACGTGTACAGAACAGTATTTTCTGTTTGAGAGAAGAACAGAGCCCAAATGTGCAGGGCCTGTGTTGTTGCATGTGCTGTGTGAATGAAACAAAACTCAACTCCAAGTATGTTTTTGATGAGGAAACAACATTTTAACATAGACCAGAAAATAGCGCAATATGTTCCCTTTAAGAACTCAATAATAACACTGAAGAACCAAATCAATAAATCATGTTTTTGGGGATTTTGTCAGGTATTTGAACTTGTACTTATTGAATCTTCCTCTTTGTTTTATCCCAAATGTCAAATATTTCAACCATATTCAAACTGGAATGTGTTTCATTGTGCAGAAACAGCGAGAGCCTTTCTGCTATTCTCTGTAGCAAACAACCCCCAGTAGGAGACTAGAAACCAATCAATATTACAAAAATCAATACAGGCTCTGAGTACCTCACCATTTTGTCTCCAATGCAGCTCTTACTTGTGGGTGTGGCTGAAAAGGTATAGTGCAATGTAAAATGTCCAGCCTGTCAGTGCAATGGTCACACACTGGCCTCTGGAATACGAGCTCTGTAGGCTGCGGGCCCTGGCGGTGTTAAGGGTCAGAGTTGTATTGTGTATGGATTGCATTGTTGTGAAACGCTATGGCAACTGGACATTCTTCTCTCCGTCCCAAAAGCTGATATTGTCTCAAGGCAGGGAGTGACACAAACAGGACTTTTGCCGGCCCAGGCAGATGAGCGTTCCCTATGTGCCGGTTTATCAGTGAGGTGTGGATAGATCACAAGAGCGCTGTGCATGTGATGGATCTATGCGCCCATCCCCCACTCAACCCCCACAGGCTCATTACTGCACTGCTCTGTCTTTCTCTGAATATAAAACAGAAGCACCCCTACAGGATTTACACACATGTTCGCCACAATCTGCAGATACAATATAATACTTTCTTTCATGCACATTTGAGTTATTACCAAGATCCAGATCCAGAACAAACTGTATTTTGAAGCTTTTCATGGATACAGTACTGGGAGGGTGGCTTATTTTCTTGCTTTTACTATGTTCATATTTTGTAAACTGTTAAATTAAACTAGTTAATGCCATATATTCCGTATTATGTGACATTTGTGCGTACTCCACTATGCTTGTTTTTGAACACGCAAAATGGTCCATTGGTATTTCTCTAGGTATTTATAGTTGCTGACCTACATTTTTGTAATACATAAGCAAACTAGTTATAACGCAACTACAGAGACAAAACCCTCAAAATACTTAGTCTGAGACTGGTAAACGCCAATGTTGACACACACTCACTGACCATGCTCGCCGTATCAAAACACAGCCCAGCCATTGCGTCACAGGGGCCCGGCCAATTGTTATTTTAGGTTTCCTGACAGCTCTTCCTTCCTCCTACTGAAACATGTTTTTTACTACAGGCTAAAACTGCAAACAACTTCAAATTTTGATGCTTTGAAGCCTTCTTTCTGGCTCATCTTGTCACTATATTTTGACTTTACTGGTCCCTAAACAGTAACTTTGCACGCCCTGAGAGACAACTGAAGATAAGACTAAGTACCACCAGCCCCTGTCATTATTCTTGGTGATCACAAGCAAACTATTAGTCAAGATTTTACCTTAAGGCTACCATTTTACAGCTTCACCTAGCTCAATCCGCATCCAGTACACAATTAGCTGTCGAAATCGCTGCTATATTCTAACTGCCCATTCATATGTTAATGGTTAGGCTATTGTCAACTCGAGAAAAACTAACACACATTAGTTAAGCTATTAGTGAGTGCGAATTGGGACCTGCTGCCCATATGCTAATGTCCACTAATGTTATCATATATAGATTTGTTTCAAGAGTCTTCAGTGTTATGCAAAGGTGATTAACTCAGGGCCAGCTCCTGCTTTATCATGGGCAGGAATTAGGTCACTGTGCTGAGGGTGTAATCTTTGCTTACAAACAGAGTAGTGAAGGCTGGTAGTAGCAGAGTTGTTTTTCAAGAATATTTGGCTTTATTGATACACTAATACAACTAACACAAACTAACCAGTCCCATGTAACCAACAAGGACTCTTATAATATTGCAAACAGAGTACCTTGGACCTTTTTTGACTGCTTTTTTACTCTGTCACAAGTAGTTTTATGTTATAAGCATGGGTACCTTCACTGTTGGTTAATAAAAAATATCTTCAACGGGCATCACCGCTAACACTGACAAACCACAGATACACATACTTGCATGTATTTTAACTGTCAGCATAAAATTTCTGTACCCAGTTTGTCATTGGCGTATAATAATAACTGTATGCACTGATGTAAGTATGTGTTCACAGTCCATTTGTTTTAGAATGATGAGAAATTAAGACTGTTGCCATAGCGATCAACAATTAAACATTTATAAATATGTATAGGTTCTGTACCCGATTAGTTATTGACGTATAAAAACTGTATGCATTAATTTAAGTATGTGTTCACAGTCCATGGGGTTTAGAATGATGAGAAATTAGTACAGTTGCCATAGTGATTAACAATTAAAAATATATAAATATGTATAGGTTCTGTACCCAATTTGTTATTGACGTATAATAACTGTATGTGCTGATGTAAGTGTGTTCAGAAATGAGTACTGTTACCATAGTGATTAACAATTAAAAATATATAAATATGTATAGGTTCTGTACCCAATTTGTTATTGACGTATAATAACTGTATGTGCGTTCAGAAATGAGTACTGTTACCATAGTGATTAATAATAAAAAATAAATAAATAAATAAAAAATAAAAAAACACATTATAGGTTCAGAATGGGAAATAGTCATCAATATTTTGCAGATAACAGGAAGCTGAAACGCATCAGTACAAAATAGCAAAGGGCCCACAGGTCAAACTTGTATTCTCTAAGCAAGTACACTAAAGGTACAAAGTGTTACCAACTCAAAATACTTAAAATGACAATCACATTTATTTTTGCTACTTCATCTGACACCCCTTGCTCTAAAATCACCTTTCCCTTGAGTCTAGTTAATGGTGCACTGGTTTAGAGTTTCATTTTTGCCTGAGCTTTCTGACCTTCACTAAGTCTTTACACAAATACACACTCACACCTATGCACACACACATATATAGACAACACAGCAGTGCCACAGTTCTCCCATTGCGTTGGCTTCTCCTTGGGATTTGCCTTTGTGTCTGCTTGTCATTCAGCGGTGAAAGCAATGAAAGCTGATTCACGGAGATGCACAAAGCCACCAAGCTATTCCAGCCCCACTGCTGTGCGCACACTGTGCACTTTACTGCTCCAAGTGTCCGGCCCCTGGCTCCCCTTCAAAGTACACAATATTCTCACCACTAAACACTCACCGGATATTGAAAAAGCATGTGAACTGTATCAAGAACTTAGCAAAAAATGCAACAGTGTCATATTCTTTTAGTAATTGTTACACATAAGCAAGCTATGTGTATTCTCAAAACACTTAAAATCATTACATTGTACATTCTTTACTACTCACAACCTAAAGATAAGTCTCACCATGAAAGTCCAGTAGCAGTTTTATTGTGCAGGAATAATAGTACTGATAGAAAAGAAAAGGTTTTAATAACTAAAAAAAAAGATCAGCCATGTTGGACTAGTTCTCTAATCTAATATCCTCTCTTTATTGCCTTGGCTCTTGCCTTTTACCGAGGAGCCAAGAGCTTTACCTCAACTAGGGGTTAAAACTTAACCTCAAACACACCGTAGCACACAGTGTAAACCAGGCAAGTCTTGCATTAACCCAGAGTCCCCATTCTCACCTGCTTTCCTGTCCCTCCACTTTGCAGAAAATCCAACAAAAAACCGTCCGAATCTCTCTTCTCCTCTTCTTCTCCCCTTTAACAAATCCTAAAGGGCAGCCATCTTGCCTCCGTCTGTTCTTCTATGAAACCGACTATCCTCCACATCAATATTCATGGAAGCCAGGCTGACGTCGGCGTCCACCATCATCAGTAGACGCTTCTGCTGTTCCTGTTCTGTCCAATGCGAGACCATAGAGTAGTGCAGTGTGCAAAGCCAGAGTGCAGCTCTCGTAGCACTGAGGAGGCTTGGCTTAGAGAAATAATCACAAATTCACTATCCTGCTGAGTTCTTCCCACACAAAGGGACAGGTTTTCTTTCACTCCCTTCTCTGCTCCCTCCTCTTTTTTTTTTTTTTTTTTTTCTTCTTCTCAGGTCAGCCGCACACAATAGTGCACACTACTATAATGGCTTCCCTCAAGCACCGGGCTGGATTGCATGGAACAGGAATCCACCCTCCCCCGCTGGACTTTTTGTTTTCTGAAGCTCAAATTGTGCACAGTCTTGTCTTAACTCTCTCCACCCCCTCTCTCTCTCATTCTCTGCCTCTCATTCTCAGACAGGAAGCCAGAGTCACTTTGAGCATTTTCCCTCCTTTTTTCAAGACGTCCTCCTCTTCTTGATCACAAATAGCGTTGGTAGTAAATTTTTTTCAGTACTTTGCCTGAATATAGAAACAGTGGCGCCCTGGCCCCTTATTTTGCCTGGCTCATTTTTAGACAGCGCGATGTAAGGCAACTCTTAGGCATG